GGCAACGTAAATGGTGTCGCCCATCTTGGGATGTAAGTTCTAAGTATCAGTTTTAACAGTACAACGGCTGTCCCGGCCTGAGAACCGAAACGCATTACTGCTTCACGGCAGAAATAGGCGGGGAGGTGGTACCTACCCGTGCGGGCTCACAAGAGGCCGAACCTACAGTATTTTTAGTGTTAGCCTGCCATGAATTCTATTCGCCTTCGTTTTCTATAACCATTGCCCCATGTTTGTTGTTATATTTTAGTTACGTAATAAACTTCACAGATAATGTTTGTTGTAAAATTTTGTTCATTTTTATATCAAAAAATTTGATTAGAGAGTATATTATTATTATAATAAATTGTTCCGAAAAATGATTGTGATAAAGAAAAATAAAACTACTAATTTGTTAATGTGATTAGTATTATTTTTATTGTGTGTGTTCAAATAGTAAAATTGTATTATCGAAAAGCAATAATAAATTGTTAATATGGTCATGTTCTTTTCTTACATCCTTGGTTTAAACAAAGTGGTTAAAACAAAATCCTATAATTTACTGAGTTGTAGTAAAAATTATGAAAGTTGAAGGTACAGTACCCGACGATAAATATTGCACATCGAACCCTCAGACACAGCCCACTGAGTTTCTCGCCGGATCTTCTCAGTGGGTCGCTCTTGCTAGGGTTCGTGTTAGCAACGTCGTCAGGTTTGAGCCCCGCGAGCTCACCTACTAGTTAAGGTTACGCTGAAATAGCCTCTCAAGGCTAGCAAGGCATAGGTAGGAAAAAAAGGACATCGACATTTGGAGAAAGACAATCGGCAAAACTCGAATTATTATAGCGTTATCTCTGTCGCACGAAACATTAACGGTTCGTCCGCACAGTACCGGACTTGAACAACGATTAACAAAGGTCACATAGGCAGCGTGCGACAGAGATAACGCTATACGAAGCCGAAATTAGCGGATCGTCTCTTTCCTAAGGCCGATGTGCAATATTTATAGTCGGGTACTGCATCTCCAACTTTCAGTGTTTGTCGACAATTTTGTTTTTCTTCCTACCTATTCTAGTAATCTCGAGGTGTTATTCTAGATACAACGAAATAATAGGTGCTTGAGGTACCTAAAAGCACCGTTAGTGGATCGGGAGGATCCGAAATGACGTGTTTTGGGCGACGTCGACTGCTTTCCATTCCGTCCGCAGGATCGGGAATGTAACTAGCGGCGGTCACGATGAGAGGGTTCTCGTGTCGTGCCGCTTTGTCGAAGTGGCGCATCGATACCGACTGTAGATAGTTACTGATAGACTCTAAGTCCAGGTGGTCATGGAGGTCGACGTTCCCGACGAACCACAGAGCTCCGACGGCTATCCTGCAAAAACGGGATTGAATAATTTGGAGTGATTTTAAGGTAGTGCGTGCCGCGTGAGCGAACACTACACTTGCATAGGTCATGACGGGGCGTATGCAAGTTTTGTAGAGTGTCGCCTTATTTCTAAGGGACAATTTATTTCGCCTGCAAATCATCGGGTAGAAAATTTCCGCGTGAAAGAGTAATAAATATACATTCATATATTCTTACAAATTTCGCGTTTATAATACTAGTGGAATCTATTGAACCAAAACACGATTGTGGTTATACAGTAGTGGTCATATAATTAGAAACACAATGAATAAAGTATAACTTCAACGTACAAATGTTCGTAAAATATATACACATTCACAGTGGCGTACCTAAGGGGGGGCGGTTGGTGCGGTCCGCACCGGGCGGCACTTACCCTGGGGCGGCATTTTAGCATTTACTTTTTAAAGCAATTTATTCATTTCATATTTATTTTCTTTCTTGAATAATAAGTGATTATTATGATCATGGACTTTGTACTACAAATGTCCATGTCAAGTACCAGTGGACACGGGCAGTTTGCACGCCCGGCCTCTATTTTATTGAAATTTGCCTGTCTCTGTTTGTCTAAGGTATATTTGTATTTAACTATCTTGCTTCTCAGTTAAATTATCTACCAAACTACGCAAAAACCGTTATTCCTTGCCGCGCCATATAAAAGGAAACAGATTTTGAAATTTTTATTCTGTGTCGAATCGCGGGAGTGAATTGTCGTGTCTGTGTTTCGATAATTTTAATACTTTTAGTGAGTGTATTTACGTTGTGTTTTGTTATTTATAAGGTAAGTTATCTACTAATACATAGAAATAAAGGTTTCAGCATGAGACACAAAATGTAGCCTTTTTAAACCGATACATTTGGTGGTACATTTTGGCGTTAGTGACGCCATAATTTTACTCTCATTTTTTGTTATTTTTTGCCTGTTTTATCATACTAAATGCGATTAATATGTTAGATCAACTAATTATCAGCCGGAATAGTAAAAAACATGAGTAAAATATGTGAACTAACTTTTAAGAATTTTGAATTTCAAATTTGAAGAGTCCGTTGGTGCAGTTTAAGGGCTGGGGCACTCTGAGATATCTTATTTTCGAACCGACTTTTTTTGTACGCGTTTTTAAATGTTACGTTTGGCAATGAAAACTGCGTATGAGTGTATTTTTTTGTTGGTTTTGTATAAAGAGAAGGAGAATTTATAATTGTTAAGCATATTGTATTACGTATTGTAGATATAGATGTTATTCAGCGAAGTAAAATGACTTTGCCGTTTTCTATACATAATATACTATTTATTTCGACAAGTTATATTTTTATTATATATCCCTAGGATGAAACGAGTAAAAGAAAGCGGTGCGTCATTTAGAAAGAAAAGAAAGAAAAGGGAGGAAATACAGATTAAAAACACTGGAGCACTACTCAAATACATCTCTCATAAGCCAACTTCTAGTTCTTTTAGTATTGTTGCCTCAAATACGGGAGAAGAAGCAGCGCTCGAAGGCGAAAAAACATTATCCAATGTTGTTCAAGAGGAAAGACCTGCTTCATACACTGGCGAAGAAGTAGAAAGTTTATCAAGCCTGATGAAGAATCTGCTGCACAAATTATTCTGTCTGTTNTGGCATGTTTGCACGCAGCTTCTACAGCTATCAATTCCATCACATTTTTTGGAACTATCGAACAGTTGTTTTCGTTGTTTTCTTCTTCCACTCATAGATGGAATGTTTTACTTTCGGTCACTGGTCAAGGTGTTAAACGTAGTGTAGAAACTCGCTGGAGCGCTAGAGCTGCCGCGGTAACTATAGTAAAAAAACATTTTTTTTACATTATAAGCGCTTTGGGAAAATTGACATCTGAAGAAGAAAATAGTAAAACGCGATCAGATGCTGGAGTTTTTTTTTTTTTTATTGCTTCGATGGGTGGACGAACTCACAGCCCACCCACCTGGTGTTAAGTGGTTACTGGAGCCCATAGACATCTACAACGTAGACGCGCCACCCACCTTGAGATACAAGTTCTAAAGTCTCAGTATAGTTACAACGGCTGCCCCACCCTTCAAACCGAAACGCATTACTGCTTCACGGCAGAAATAGGCAGGGCAGTATTACTCAATTCTATGCAATCTTTTTCTTTTCTATGCTACCTTCATTTATGGGAATCCGTTCTTTTGGAAATTAATGACGCTCAAAAATACCTGCAAATAAAGGGGTTAAATGTCCACCAATGCCATATAAAACTAAATTCTTTGCAAACACATTTAATGGAACAAAGATATACGCTAGTACAAAACGCTGTTATAGCTGCCAAAATAATTTGTGAAGAGATGGAAATATCGACAGAGCGTCGAGTTAGAAGGAGAAAAAATATGAGTGGGGAAAATTCGCAAGACGTGGGGCTATCCTTAGAAGAAGAAGTACGAAGAGAAATGTTTTCATTTATGGACAGAATTATAAAGGAAATAAAAGAACGCTTCGATCAATTGCATGGTCTTGTAAGAAAATATTCGTGTACAATACCGTGTAACCTACTAAATTAAGAATTTGAATGTCAAATAAATGATTTGATCGACATTGTTAAAGAACAGTTCCATATTGAAAGAAAAAGGATCCAGGTTTTTATGGCTGTATCTACACTAAAAGAAGAGGTAAAACATTGGAAAAACGGGGAGAAGGGCCCTCTTGACCTGCTAAAATTTATTCAGCAGTATAGGTTGGAAAATTCTGTTCCCAACATTGTAATTTTGTTAAGAATTTTTTTAACAATTTCAATCAATATCGCTAGTTGCGAAAGAAGCTTCTCAAAATTGAAGTTGATAAAAAATTATCTTCGTTCTACAATGAGTCAATCAAGACTACAAAATCTTGCAATATTGTCAATAGAACAAGAAATTACAAAAAATATAAATTTTGAGAGCATTATACACGATTTTTCTAGTATGAAAGCTAGAAGAGTAGATATTATATAAATATGTTTACGAGTGCATACAAATAAGTCTAAAAAATTTACTCTGTGTATTAATTAATATTGATTAAATAACTTAATAATTTATTTATGTGTATTAATTTATAAAAACCACTATTTGATTGACTTATNGAGCATTATACACGATTTTTCTAGTATGAAAGCTAGAAGAGTAGATATTATATAAATATGTTTACGAGTGCATACAAATAAGTCTAAAAAATTTACTCTGTGTATTAATTAATATTGATTAAATAACTTAATAATTTATTTATGTGTATTAATTTATAAAAACCACTATTTGATTGACTTATAATAGAAAGGGCGGCAGACTGGAGATCTCCCCGGGCGGCAAAAGTTCTAGGTACGCCACTGCACATTCAATTACTGGTGGTAGGACCTCTTGCCTCTTTCTGCCGTGAAGCAGTAATGAGTTTCGGTTTGAAGGGTGGGGCAGCCGTTGTAACTATACTGAGATCTTAGAACTTATATCTCAAGGTGGGTGGCGCATTTACGTTGTAGATGTCCATGGGATCCAGTAACCACTTAACACCACGTGGGCTGTGAGCTCGTCCACCCATCTAAGCAATAAAAAAAAAGTAATAATCATGTAATAATATAGGCACTCAAATAAAAAACTCATTAAATGCATAAAATATTAAACATATCTAACTTTTAATTAGGTACAAAATGAGTTGCGCATGTAGACATTTTTTTCAATTTGTCGTCATGGTGATCTCGCAGGCCGCCACGCTGATCCCGTGGTTCGACAGCAGATGACTCTTCAAGCTGCACTTCTGCACGAAGGTCAGGCTGCACACGTGGCACTTGAACCGCCGGTCGTTGTTGTGGATGCGCATGTGCTCCCTCAGGGTGTACTTCCTGGCGTACGCCTTGCCGCAGACCTCGCACGCGTATATCCGCTCGCCCGTGTGCCGGACCATGTGCGCCTTCAGAGCCTTCTTGCTGAAGAACCGGTAGCCGCACTCCGTGCACTGGCAGTTCCTCTCCAGCAAGTGATTCCTCTTTATGTGGTACATGAGCAGCGATTTGAGCAGATAGCTCTTGTTGCAGACGTTGCACTTGTACTTGGCCTCGTCGTTGTGCACCCGGATCAGGTGCTGGTTCCGCTGGTAGTAGCTCTTGAAGGGCGCACCGCAGTGCTGGCACTTCGAGATGTTGCTCTCGCCCAGATGCTGCAGCTTCTCGTGGTAGCACTTCTTGGGACGGTTCGAGAACACCTTGTCGCAGTAGCCGCACTTGTAGCTGCCCTCCTTGTGCACGTTCCGGTGCGAGTGCAGGGACCTCTTGGTCGCGAACGCGGTCCCGCACTTCCCGCACACGTAGTTGCTGTAGTGCTTGTTCATGTGCTGCTTCAGCATCTTGAACGTCTCGTACGTGGACGCGCACTTGGCGCAGTCGAAAACGTCGCCGCTCTTCAGCTTAAACTCGAGGATGTGGTCCTTGATGTCCGCGTGGAAGGTTTTCTGGTGGGCTTTCGTTAGGTGCTCCTTGAGGGTAGTTAGGTTGTCGAGGGTTTTCTCGCAGAGCGTGCAGGCGAGGTTGTCCACGTCCAGGTTGACGTAGTACTGGGAGAGGTCGCGCGCGGGTCGGAGCTCCAGGCGCTGGGCGGCGTGTTCGGTGCGGGTGTGGCGCCGCAGCTCGCCCGGGTCGGGGTACGCCCCCTCGCAATACGCGCAACTAAAGCCGACCAACGACTTCTTCTTGAAGGGTGTCGCGTTCGAATACTTCAAGACCGTAAGCAAGTTCTCCCGGTGCTTCATCTTGTCAGCTATAGCTGTTCTGGTCCATTGGAGTTTAACTTTTGACCTTTCAATAGTAACTGTTCTCCTCTTGATCCTTTTCATGCTCTTTTCCTTGTCTTTGGCGTCTGTGAATCGAAACACCTCTATATATTGACAGCACCTTTTAAGGCCACAAGGCTTTTCACCAATGTCCTACTCATTTCCGTTCCGCAAAATCATTCAGTCGTTCTGGTTTGAATGCTGATTATCAAATAGTCGTTAATTCAATATAATAGAGAACCAGGCAGATCGTTGTGACGTCATTTGAGGCCAAAAATTGTTTAGAACTGACTGCTACACTAATTTGATTTATTTTGTTTTTAATATTCTACTTTTATAAGGTTGTTTTCTTACATACAATATACGACGATTACCTACATATGACGTCATGCTTTGTTTAGCGTAATTTTAGATTATATTTAGTGATATTAAATGATCATTGATCATCATGATGATCATGCATTATAGCTATAGACTGTATTGATGACGGAGTCCGTGTACAGTACTCACCGACCCGATTGTTTGTTGGAATGTTGGTGTCATCTCCCTCCCACTCGGGATTCACGCCGACACACTTCTCCCTCACACTTCTGTGACGCTTCTTTATATCTGGCTTCGGTTCCTTCTTAATCTTCACTTCTGTGAATTTCAATGAAACTCAAATTGATTCAATTCAAATGAGTTACTTAAGGGGCTATTCCAGCCGGGCCCACACGGGTAGGTGAGCTCACGGGCTCAACCTGAGAGAATTTGCTAACCCTAGCCCTAGCAAGAGTAGTGCTTCGCTGAATATACCACCGGATTGGAATCGCGATCAACTGAGAAAATGCGACGAAAAGCTCACAAAGGTCTGTCTGTGGGTTAATTCGCTCGCAGAATTCTAAAAGTCTAAAATCTAAAAGCACCGAGAATGAATCCGGGGGATCCGACAAGACATTTCGGGCGACGGCGGCATTACGTAGCTTTTTTTTTTCGTGCCGGGGGCCAAACCTCCTACGAGGTCCCCGCGCCTAGGGGGCGCGCGGGGTATGTGGCACTTGACGATCTGCAAGGTGCTGGCAGCAGACCGCGGGCCCAAGGAATTTTAGGGCCCTAGGCATTACGTTGCCCTGTCGCCAGGTTATTTTATATTTTTTGTTACATCTAGTGTTAAGTGGTTGCCGAAGCCCATAGACATCTACAACGTAAATGCCGCCACCCGCCTTGAGATACGAGTTCTACGATCTCAGTATAGTTACAACGGCTGCCCCACCCTTCAAACTGGAACGCATTACTGCTTCACGGCAGAAATAGGCGGGGTGGTGGTACCTACCCGCGCGGACTCACAAGAGGTCCTACCACCAGTAAAACCGGTCGGATATGTATGTTATCGTGTCGCGCCGCTTTGTCGAAGTAGAGTATTGGATGTAAAATTGCCGAATACACAGTTCTTGTGCCCGTGCGGGATTTGTTCCCAAGTTATATGTTATTATTATTATTACCGGTGCAAGGCAGAAAGTAATCGTCGGAATCTTCTCCGCCATTCGCGTCCAAGGGCTCCGTTTTCACTTCGACTATACCATCTGAAACAAAAGCTGATGCTATCGTCAGTTTAGGAACATGTATAGCCCACTGAGTATCTGAGATATGAGCGGAGTGTCGAATCGTATATACGTGGGTTTTTAGACACTACATCTATTAATAATTTGTCATCAATTGTGGAAAATGACGCCATTTTGACGTACAACGTGGCCGGGTCGCGCGGCGGCACTGCTCCAGTAGCAATAGCGTCACTTGCTAGCCACGCCCACAGGTCGCGCGACCGGGTCGCCTGGGTGGTTTAGGCCAGTTTAGGGTTCCATATAAATTCATACTAAGCAGTAGTAAGTCGCGCGACCCGGTCGCGGTCGCGGTCGCCAACATCGGAATGCTACCTTAAGTATTGCGGCAAAGCCGTCAACACCGGCGTCAGCAAGCATCCCCGACGCGCTACAGAAACGCGGCAGCCCCGCCAGTGTCCTGAACCTCTTGTGACATTGGACGCGCATAAGTTAGATTAGTTTTCGTTATGATATTTTATCCTACAGTTATTAGCAGCATTGTGTTCTTAGCACATTTATTATGACTAGTGGTCCCCCAGTAAGTAGTCGAAATTCGACTATAATTAATTTAAATTTATGTTTGAACGTTATTATAGTTCTATTGTCAAAGACTATAATAGACTTCTATAGTCACAGATTTCGCCAAAACTACACTTAATACAAATATTTATAAAGACAAACAATATTAATCTATTCTCAATTTGATCAGACTTTAAATAATAATAGTTTGACAATAAACAAAGAGTATGTAATTGTGTTGTATCAAATATATGGTAGTGTGTGTAATGTTGTTTTTATTGAGATAATGTATTTTTTATGCATAATATATGTTAACGTTCTGCACTCCTTCTCTATATTCGTTAATATTTCATACTCCTCCGTCCGAACAATTTTCGTAAAACGGAGTATAAAGTTTTTGCTTCACGTATTAATATATAATATATAGATTAGTCGTGTGCACATGGCTTATGTTACAGGCCAGATCGTTTACTTGTTGTTTATTTTTTTCTATCTCTTTCTAATATGTATAATAATATTGCCTTATAAATAAATAAATAAAATATATATATTATTATAATATATCTTTAAACTTACCTTCTAATGCTTTAGTCCTCTCCAACAGTTGCTGCTCGACACGCAACACCTGCCGTCTGAAGTCCACAGAGCTGCGAAGCGTATCGATGCATTGGTCGCATATCGCGGTCGACCATTGCGCGGACGACGAAAGCTGAACCCAGAGAAATCATTGTTTAATCCTCCTCCTCATCCTCCACATCCTCCTCATCCTCCACATCCTCCTCATCCTCCACATCCTCCACATCCTCCACATCCTCCTCATCCTCCACATCCTCCTCATCCTCCACATCCTCCACATCCTCCACATCCTCCTCATCCTCCACATCCTCCTCATCCTCCAAATCCTCCACATCTTCCTCATCCTCCACATCAGCCTATAGCAGTCCACTGCCGGACACAGGCCTCTTAATTGCACGCCACTGAGCACAATCCTCGGCTTCCCTCATCCAGCTTTTGCCCAAAAAATTAATTGGCTACCTGTAATGTCGGTTTACGGACGACAGTTTTACGTGATAACGTAAGTAGCGGAACTATTCGAAATGCCAGATCTGACGTCACGCGAGACGAGTGATAAATGTGTCACAAGCCAACTTTTGGTCCGATCGTGACGTTCCGAGCTCACAGCCCACCTGGTGTTAAGTGGTTACTGGAGCCCATAGACATCTACAACGTAAATGCGCCATCCACCTTGATAAATAAGTTCTAAGGTCTATAGTTAGTTACAACGGCTGCCCCACCCTTCAAATCGAAACGCATTACTGCTTCACGGTAGAAATAGGCAGGGTGCAGTAAAACCTAACCCGCAAAAATTTGCGTAATCAAAAAATCAAACCCGTAAAAATTTGCGTAATCACTGATTGCAGGAAGTGTAATGCGACAGTAATGCGTTTCGGTTTGATGGGCGAGGCAGCCGTAGTACTGTAAAACCTGAGATCTTAGAACTCGTGTCTCAATAGTCTAGAGTAGTCTAGACGACAAGTAGAAAATGTTACAAAATAGAGATACTGCTCTTAAAATGATGTGCAATAGCTCATTGGATCCGGAATTACGCCTAGAAAAATGTGCCAAANTGATATCCCTATCGTGCGCTCACTCACTCTGGCCGATTCGATACGAACCAAACGAATATTGCTGATATTAACGAATCGGTACGATATGCCGATGCGCATCACATCGAGCAATATCGTGTATCGGCTGATATCGAAATATAGATTTCGTGCGGGGCGATATCGGATTCAACGATATTGCTGCGATATATAGATATTGAATCTAGATACGATTTATATCACCCACTCCTAGTGTTCGGGCTTACTTTCGAATTAATTTAATTACGTTATTTTTACAGCTTTCTGTCTCATAGTGTTTTGATATTCATTTTATTTGTACTTGGTCCCTGTTTATGGAAATTTTAATTCGTATTTTGATTTAAAAAAATGAATGCTAATAACATGCCTTTGTACATAATTTTCCTATTACTCTGTACTGTGTCTTGTTTTCTGTGTGTACATAAATAAATAAATAAATAAATAAATAAACACATTTTTTTATGAGTGTACATGCGCGAAAGTTCACCTGCGGCTATATTCAGACTCGCCGAGTTACGTCGGTCGTATTGTAATGAGCGATTTAGTGGGCAACTTCATTTTTGTTAATTTTGTGTCACGGTGCGCGCGCGTCGTAAAATTTCACTCTCATCAATTTTTCATAACGCGCCTAAAGAAGTATAACTTCAAAAATTGTTATAAACAAAGTATACATATTCTTTAAACTTTTATGGCACGATCTTGTTAAGTATGTATGTAAGAAAGGCTCTACGAAGCGAACATTTTTTACGACCATTATTTAACTTTATTAAATAATTATTATTTAACTTTTGGCGCATTTGCGTTGTAGATGTCCAGGGGCTCCAGTAACCGCTTAACACCAGGTGGGCTGTGAGCTCGTCCACCCATATGAGCAATAAAAAATGCAAATTCGGGATCTGCTCATCAGACACCGTACTCTCTGCGAGTCATTTAGTCCACAGTTGAGATGAAGGTCGCTTCGAAATTTTCGGTAAGATATATCGGCCAAAATTCGCCTTAATCGTTAAAACTGGGCAGCGCCAATTATAATAGACGGGGGCTTGATTATAATATGTTTAGAGAGAAATTAAAATTGCCGAACGTGCAACAGTAATTTCACTGCCTACAGGCAGTGAAATTATACGAACGACATTCTAGAATGAAGTATACATACTTCATTCTAGAATGTCGTTCGTATCGTGGTAATAGATCGATGTTCATATCATAAAGAATAAAAAAAAATATTAACGCGTTAAAGTCGGACTATTTAGTACAATCAATTTCCACGTTTCATTCCACAACATGGTCTTTTTTTTCCTACCTATCCTAGTAACCTCGAGGGGTTATTCTAGATTCGTCGAATTAGTAGGTGAGCTCATAGGCCTCAAACCTGATGACGTTGCTAGCACGAACCCTAGCAAGAGAAGTGCTTCGCAGAATCTACCACCGGATCGGAAACGCGACCCACTGAAAATCCGGCGAGAAACTCAATGGGCTGTGTCTATGGGTTAATTTACTCACCGACCCTTTCGTCGCAAGCGACGGGTTCGACGAGAACGATGACCGGTGCTTGGGGTGCCTAAAAGTACCGTTAGTGGATTGGGAGGATCCGAGATGACGTGCCCTAACCCATGCATCAGCCCGCTGAGTTTCTCGCCGGATCTTCTCAGCGGGTCGCGATTCCGATCCGGTAGTAGATTCATTCGCGAAGCAATTGCTCTTGAGTTGTTAAGTCTTCTTCGGAGGCGCTCGGGCAGTTATTAGCAAATCCCACCCCTCCTGGCTGAGCCTTTGCTCGCCCACCTGTCCTGGTGAAACTGAAAAGGCTTTCGGGCCAACAGTAATCTTTCAATCATAAAAAAAAAAAAATTACGTGTTTTGGGCGACGTCGACTGTTTACCATTTGGTCCGCAGGATCAGGAACGTAGTTACCGGCGCGGCGGCCACGATGAGAGGGTTCTCGTGTCGTGCCGCTTTATCGAAATGAGTGCTCTTGTGAGAGATTCAATATTGGAAACATTCTATAACGCGCGCTCAAATATAGATTGATTTCCTTTTGTTAGTTAATAAGTTTTATTTCACTTCATCAGATTTAGAAATGTGTGATTTTTAAATTTAGAATTCGTTTAGTTAAAAATGTAAAAAAATATATTAGAATTTGTTTAAAAAAATACTATTGCAAAGCGAACGTACTGTTATACGGAATTAACAAATTATCTTTTTAAAAAAGATTTTATTTACGAAAATGAATATATAAAGATTTCACGACGATTAATGACGGCAACCGTGCCGTGTGGAATTAGGAATAGGACTGACTGGATAGGGAGGGGATTGTTCTCTAATAAAGGATCATAACTGCTGATGCTGTTCGGGAAAGGTGATGATGAAAGGAAAGCTAGGAACCAGAGGGCATCATAACAGCCCCCCGACCAGGACTANGTGCAATTCGAAAAAAAAATCTAAATTATATTGCGCCGGTTGTTGTGATATTTTGGCGGCGCGGTAAAATTGAGAAAACACAATTCGAATCAGAGATTACAAAACTAGCGTCACCTGATGCTCTCCAAGTCCTCGTTCTCGTCCAGCGGTAGGGCTCCTTAATAGCCAATCAGCGACGAACGGGAGCCGAGCACTTCATTATATTAATTTAAAGCTCTGATATGATGTGATTAGCGGTGGAAAAAAACGATTGTAATTTAGATTTTAATTTTTTGTTCTTTTGCGTGTTACGCATAATGAAGCCGGAATTAAAAAGGGGCGTCCGTTCCAAATTTAAAATTATATTCTTTTAATAGTTCCTTTTTTTTAATTCGCCCTTGAATACGTCTTCAAGAAGGTTTCATCCAACTCCAAAGAGGCGTCGTTACACGTCACGTCGTCGCGTGTAAACTCGACATTCTTAAAATGTCTTGATGATAAGTACTCATCCAAGAGTAAGATTAAACGAGAAATCAATGTATTTAGTTTTTTCTTTGAGCCACCCACCTTGAGACAGACATTAGTTCCAAGTCCTAGCTCTATAGTACAACGGTTACCCCACCCTTGAAACTCGAAAGTATTACTGGTACACGGCAAAAATAGGTAGGGTGGTGGTACGTACCTACTGGTACGGGCTGACAAGACTAGGCTACTACCGATTAGGTAGGAAAAAAATACCAAGACCTTCGACCAACAGTAAATAAAAATAAAAATTTAATTACACGACTTTATTTATTCCTTCACCGTGGAAGTCATTCGTGAACATTTGTAAGTACGTATTTCATTACAAAAATTAGCACTTGCCGGCGGGATTCGAACACAGGCACAGTTGCATTGCTTTAAGCGAATGCACCGGTCGTCTTATCCTTTAAGCCACGACTTAAAATAAAACTAATATAAAAAAAAAAACTATTGTACTTCGTAATTTGTGCTAAAAAAATTATAATTAAATTTAATTATTATTTCTTTATTTTTCTAATTCGCCTCGCATCTACCAAGTTTTCTAGGTGATCCATTCATTTGAATTAGTAAACTATTATTCCTATGAATACATACGACAATGTTGAAACATTCCTTCAGCATTTCAGCGTAAATTTCCGTTTTTCCGAGCCGACTGTACTGGGCTTTCAGATTTTTGTGAGTGCCGGGGGTTAAACAACAACGACACTCTTCCATTATACAATTTAACTTGAACATATACTTTGTCCACGAACAAGAACTCGCTTTGAAAAGCCCAAAAATGTGAATCATTCACAAAGACAACGATGTTTTAATTCATTACTTTCGTTTTAACAAATAGGTAGGTACAGGACTATGCAATATTATGTGTTTAATCTATGGGACTATGTATTTATATTTTTTTGTCCATAGATGTCATTATCCATAGATAATACAATTGTTTTTTTTTAGGGATTTTATGACCTGGTAACTAAGACTTTTAGGTCAAGCCGTATTTTAATTTTAATGAAAATATTTATATATAAAAAATTATATTATGAAATGAAATTAAGTTGATTAACTTAGACTAATCTAAAACGAAGAATAGATAAAAAAGGAATTAATCTTTTTTCTAATTTCACTTGACTTCATTTTTTACAAAATATAATATGTATTCATTTATTAACTTAAGGTTTTTATACACTTGACACTGACAACAATATCATTGCAAAAACCCAATTTCCCTACTTAAAAAAAAGAGAAAATAACAAATAATCATTAAGAATCTTAAACGCTACCCAAATCGAAACAGGTCAAAATCTCGGTTGCAACTCGGCTTTACTTTGCATACTATCATCTAGGCTCTTTATTATCCTCTGCCCTCAGAGGCAAACATAAAACTCGATATAGTAATCACTTATGATTAGGTTTATGTTAGTCGGCCTCCGATGGTAATGAAATGTCTTCCTTCTACGTATTTAAAGCATAAACATCTCCAAAGCGATTGCTACAAGTTTTATCAACCCATCAAAATAGAAAATTCAGAATTAATAAAAGTTTGACGGAACGCAAAACTATTGGAACGGAATTTGCCAGTGATTATTATCATTATTGAAAAACTTATCGATTTTTACTGAAATCGACTTTCTCAGGGAATAAATTCTGTAATAACGCTCTTATTGTAATTTATGGCAATAGATATTTTGATTAAGTGTATTAGGACTTTTTGGCGGGAACGCGAGAAGTGAAGTTGTGTGATTTGTTTTATTTTGTCTATTTAGTCAGTAAATGACCACCGTTTTACTGAGATTATATTTCATCCCATATCATATCATCTCATCTCATTTCATTTAATTTCATCCCAGTTGATTAATATCTCAAATTAATCATCTTCATTTCATTTCATTTCATTTCACTCCATATTATAATTTTTCATAAAAATAAGAATATAAATTAAAACAAGGCATCACTTAAAGGTCTTAGTTACCAAGTCATAAAATACCCTAAAAAAAACATTTTTGACATTTCTTAATTAGTGTTATCAATTTAATTTTAAAGATCTTTCTGTACGAATTGAACACTGAAAATAGTGACAGTTTTCCAATTACAGCACAAGAGCGCATTATGCGGCATAATGCTCAACTAAACTTCAGCATAATTCGGCATTGTGCGTCACTGAGTCGCATTATGCTCTGTAATTAACTATTACTTAATGGTAGTTTTCCATATACAGAGCATAATGCGACTCAGTGACGCACAATGCCGAATTATGCTGAAGCTTAGTTGAGCATTACGCCGCATAATGGGCTCTTGTGCTGTAGTTGGAAAACGGTCAGTAAATATTGTTTTCGTTGATAGTGTTAAAGGATATAAACTAAATGGATGTATTTGGATGTAATGGTTCATGGATGTCGGCATCGACAAAATCTTCCCTGGAAAAAGCCAAGTTAAATGAAAATTTGCAATACAATAGCCTATTGCAAACCACTGTGGATAATATATAATATATGACAGAGCTGGCTGGTTCTATGGTGTTTTTAAAATGATGACGTCAGCGTCAGTTACTCGGTAGCATTGAATTCATTGAAGCGGTAAGTGGGATGCAATTACGGGATGCGGCAGATTGCACAACGTGGGATCGCATTGAAAGTTGTCTGTCGATGGTCACTCCCAGATAGTTCACTGTGGGGGTTCACGGGTTGCTATTTCTTCCAATAGTGATCACTTGGGTCTTCGCTACGTTAACTTTCAGTCTCTAGTCCCTCTGCCACGCGGGAAGGCGTCGAGCACACGTTGCTGTCTCGGCACTGCGTGTGGGGCCAATAGCGACGTTATGATGTAGGCTGCATAGTCGGCGTACAGTGCTAGCATAGCACCGTCCGTGGCTGGGATGTTATCCGTATATTTGGCATAGCATACGGGTGATAGCAGCTCCCTTGAGGAACGCCGGCTCATAATGGACGCTCACTAGATAAAGCATCTTCGATCGCGACCTGGATCCGCCTGCCCTGGAGGAAGCTGCCCACTATCTCAACTATTCGCCTAGGAGTAGTAGAAGTGGACAGCTTGTAAAGTAGTCCGGGATACCAGACACGGTCAAATGCCTTCTCCATGTCCAGGAGCACGGCGATGGCGCATTAATTTTTGTTGAGTGTCGCTGCAAGGCGATGTAGTACTTGGGCAACCTGAGGCGTCGTAGGGTGTTCGGCTCTGAATCCGAGTTGTTCGTCACGTGGTAGCATTTGTGGAGTAGCAGCAGTAGTTAGGCGAGCCTTCTCTGTTGAGAGTTCGTTGGAATTCCAGTGTAAAAGTCAGAATTCAGGCTGGAACGTTACAGAGTTTGACTAGGAATCTGAGGTTCAGTGGAATAGGATCTCACTTTCCTGAAGTGCCATAAGTACTTGCTGCTGAGTACCAATGACACTAGTCATCTTTGGGTTTAAATTGCCACATACCGATGCCAGAACTTGTGGTTGTTGCGGCTGGGTTTCCTGTTTCTTTTTAGTACCATCGGGTTGAACGGTGGCCGTAGTAATTTTGGCTGTCGTCGCTGTCGGTGGCAGCGACGTTGTTAGTAGGTTTTTCCTGTGGACGCGATCCATCGCGCCTGCTCCGCTTTCTGCGCTTCGGCTTATTCGTGCCAAGATATTTCTTTGGCTGGTTGGCTGCCACCATGAGTGATCCCCGGGCGTTGACCTTTTTAGACGTGTTGGTTGCTGCTGGAGTAGTAGCTGTACGTTCGACGGTGCTCAACTTCCGGTTCCGCAGCTCTTCCCGGTATACGGGGCAATTCGAGTTGTTTGCCGTGTGCACATTACCACAATTTGCGCAAGTCGGCGGGGCTTCAAGTGGGCGTTGACATTTCCGGGCGAGGTGGTATTCTCCGCAGCGCTCACAGGCGACAGGCCCGTGGCAATTGTGCGAGGAGTGCCGAAATTGTTGGCATCTATGGCATTGAACTGGATCCCTCCTTCCGCGCCAGGCTTTGATGATAGCCCCGGGCATACAAAGTAGTTCTCGTACTTCGTATATGCCCGGGACGTTGTTGTAGCTGAACAAACATCAGGCAACCCAGTTGGCCCGAGTGTGCGGAAATCGCCCGCATGTGCTTCAGGGTAAATCCGATCTCCCACAGCCCTTCCACTGTTTTGTGCAACAATAGTTACAGGTATTTATAGTAGAAAGTGGGGGTAGCTTAGTCAAGAATTCTCTTGAATATCGTCTTAAACAGCTGTTGACATACGTAACATTATGGAAACTGTTAACTTTAGCTATTTTTATTTGCACTGGCATATATACATATACACCGACCTGTTTATTTTTGCCTCAAAGCAGCGTTTCAATTTGAAGGGCTTGACAATCATGATAATATCGACCTCAAGCCTTATGACCTAATATGAGTAGTGGCATTCGCATTGTGAAAACGTTTATGCGATCCAGTAGTCTAACTGGACCATAAAAAATTTCTAAAGCCTGTTGGTTTCAATCCGTTGACATTATTTCTTGGTATTTTGTAACATACGTACATAAGGTTCTCTTAAAAATTATACTCAAATTATCTTTACAAAGTGAATGCCTATCAATAACTGTTTTACTTTACAAGAAAAATATATATTTATTATGCTTCTCAGCACTAATATGAAGAGATAATACACTTTTTGTATTCACAAACAAAATTGGGTCATCACGTGAGCTCTCTTTATTTACCAGGTATAAATCATTAATTATTTAAAAAAAATAGAAAAAACGAAGAGCTTAAAGTATGTGTACGTAAAAAAATTGAATCTTTTACATTACATGAAACATTTTATGCTATGTACATAAGCGCCTGAAACCAGAAGCGTGAAATAATTCGAATCAAACCAAGATTTACTACCAAACATTTTTAGTTATATACTGGCCACACCAGAAATCGATTTTCAAACTAAAATTTCCAATACAACAAAATGGTGGTCCTACTATCCGCTTGTTAATTTGGTTTAAATACGGTCATTGTGACATAAGGGACCTTGTTAGTTATTGTTATGTTAGAATCGTGATATAATGATGGAGTTTGACGATATTGTGGTGAAGGAGAATCCCGGCCTTTGCCGGTGCTGTCTTTCTGAAGGGTGCTACAAAGATTTAGGTTCTGAGTACACTTGGATGAATGAAAATGAAGTTTACGCGGATATGCTGTTGGAATGCTTTGATATTAGTGTAGGTTTATTAAATTACATTTAATAATAACGTTTTTATATGTTCCCTNATATAATGATGGAGTTTGACGATATTGTGGTGAAGGAGAATCCCGGCCTTTGCCGGTGCTGTCTTTCTGAAGGGTGCTACAAAGATTTAGGTTCTGAGTACACTTGGATGAATGAAAATGAAGTTTACGCGGATATGCTGTTGGAATGCTTTGATATTAGTGTAGGTTTATTAAATTACATTTAATAATAACGTTTTTATATGTTCCCTGTAAGTTTTAAGTCAAGAAAAGTTCATAAAAAAAATTAGTTTCAGTTTAAATTTGATCAAGATTGCTGCCTAAGAAATTTTTTTGTTTATAGCTCAATTCATCCAAATTATTAAACCAATTTTGATGTTATTTAAATATAAACAAGTTGCGAGCTGTAGGCTATATTAAAACTAAGTTTTATCCTTCAATCTCGCATTTATAAATTTTAAAGTTTCGAATAAATATTCCAATAAATACTATTTATGAGAAATTTTCCGTACTCACCACAATATTAAAACGTTAACAAATGAGATCTTTGCTATGCGTTCTCCAAATATAAAGAGCGAGTTTAACCCATGCAAGTGGTTGTGAAACAGTGAATTTGTATTGCCGGAATACCTATGTAGTTTTTTACGTCGTTCCAGATATCACAAATAAATGAGGGACCGAACGGTCCGAATAGACTGATCTGCGAGGTTTGCATCACAAGACTCCGAGATGCATGTAACTTCAAGAAACAAGTGTTTGAATGCGAAAAAAAATTCATTGACATGGTTGCAAGAGGAGAATTTAGGAAAGGTTCGTACAAGACCATTTTGTCAATATCAATAGTGGTAACCGTCCAGTGTCCTTAAAATACTTGGACTGGGTGCAAGATGATATCTGAGAGAAATGTGTAAGTGCAGAGATGACATATTATAATAGGCCAAAATGGAAAAAAGAGATGCTTGTTTGACACCTTATATAGTGGGATAAGCGTTAAAAGAATTGGTAGTAATTATTGCCACTTTGTCACAGGTCTATGCTCTTACAGGTTTGATAGAAATAGCAACTGTGCTGTTACTATGTTATGTAATAGCTCACTTACCAATCAGGCTTAACTTAAGTGCTATACGGCCATAATCGCCAAGAATACCCTACTTAGACAAACCAAAACTTCCTTATCGCTGATAATGAATGGTAACGGCAAACAAACCATTCCTCACAATTTGCCATCTTTAAATAGCTTGTATTGGATAAGGCTTAGAATTTCAAGCACAGGAATACTAGCAGAAAATAGTAGTATTGAGAAATTACTATAAAAGAAAAATGCAGATTTCCTTGAGGAGTTTGTAATGCTTGTTCAAATTACGAGTTCGAGTTCTTGTTGACTGTAGAAGACTTTCCAAACCTTGATGGGAGATTGACATATTATACTCCTTTGGAAATACTGAGGAGAAGCTAGTATATTCTGAAGTTGTCTGCTAAAGGGGAAATTGCCTCTGGAAAGGTATTGTAGACCTGGCAATCCCAAAGTTCCCAAATAACGAAACTGATTCAAATTTCTATAAATCGGTAAGTATTTTGTATCAAAGTGAAAAACAATTAGACATAGGATTTTTAAAATATTTCAGCTAGGGGGTCTGATGCCTGATCAGTTCATTTTTGAAAATGGGTGTCTTTGCCAAAATGCAGTTCATGTGCAGCAGTCCTAGGTTGCAGCTGTCCTCCAAGGAATTGCTAAATTCTTATACCTGGAACCGGTTTTTATATGCAGTGCATTTCAGGAGATTACTTCTTACCACCCCTTGAATAAACTTCTTTCTTCATCAAAAAGTTAGGTGGATTATATGTAGTCACATTACAAATAGGTTTTTCCTTTCATTAAATCAAATCAGAAACCACTAAACAATCACTGTTGTTTTTTCTTAACTATAGCTCACAGACGTATAGTATCGAACACACAGCATGAAGTTATATTTATTTATAGTGTTATTTGTGATGAAATATTTAGTGAAAGTCAAAACATCATTAGAACCTTTCAAACTCGAACTCAATAAAGATTTTCATATAAATTGAGACGAATATCTCAGCAATAGCCAATTGTTGCCATCGTGCTGTTGAGAAATGAATTTGGAGAAACCAGGGGACTGGCGAACCTGGTATAGGTTTAAGGGGTCCATCTTATTGCTCATCTGCTCAACTCCATTCTCTCTATTCCTCTTTCTGCCTAGCTAAATTTCGTAGAAATCTATATATATACGTATATACAATTTATGGAAATTCTTGACAAGCCAAGGTCTTTTAGTAGATTATGGAGAAATTTCCCTGGTATATCTCTCGTTCTCACTTTCTTCTTTTTCTCCACCTTATCCCACTAGGTGGGGTCGGCACATCTAATTTTTCTCTTTCATTCTCTTCTATCAGCCGTCATCTCAACACTCACTCCTCTCTCTCTCATATCGTCATTCACACACTCCATACATTTCTTCTTCGGTCGACCTCTTCCCCTTGCACTACCTACCTACCTACCTACCTTGCACTACCATTTCCATACATCTCTCATTTCACTTTGACAGCATATAAACTAACCATTCATCCATTTTTGGTTAACTAATTCATGAGATCATAGTATTTGTTTTTCTTTTTTTGTGTGGTATATTTGTTTTCCACAGAGATGATATTTGATGACTCACAAATAAGCCTGTATCTTGTATATGGGAAGCATTCGAGAATCCAATTAAGTTTGTAAAGGAAACAATGTTTTATGTTTCAGTATTAATTTACCAAGCACACATGAAATCTGAAGAAGTTGGCCCCGAAGACGAAATACAAGCTGATGAATCTGAGTATCTAGAAGAGGATCCCGACTTCGGAGACGGTAAATGAACTTCGAAATTTCATGATTTACATAAATGTATGTTCCATGGGGAGTGCTCTGAGGAATTGTTCGAGATGATACCGGCATCTCGTTTTTACCATCGCACCGCCCGCCACCGGAGTAGAGTTCATCCATACTACCTGGAGTCACTGCGTTCATCCACATTGCGTTTCCAAAGGTCTTTTTTGCCACGTACATACTATGGAATGAGCTCCCCTACGCTGTGTTTCCCGAGCGCTAGGACATGTCCTTCTTCAAACGAGGCTTGTGGAGAGTATTAAGTGGTAGGCAGCGGCTTGGTTCTGCCCCTGGCATTGCTGAAGTCCATGGGCGACGGTAATCACTCACCATCAGGTGGGCCGTATGCTCGTCTGCCTACAAGGGCAATAATAAAAAAAGTACAACATTCTCAGTCAACACTGTATGGTTTCAAACGCATTGGAATTTGATTGTTAACTGATGGTAGGACCTCTTGTAAGTCCGCGCGGGTGGGTACCGCCACCCTGCCTATTTCTGCCGTGAAGCAGAAATGCGGCAGCCGTTGTAATTATACTTGAGATCTTAGAACTTATATCTGAAGGTGGGTGGCGCATTTACGTTATAGGTGTCTATGGGCTCCAGTAACCACTTAACACCAGATGGGCTGCGAGCACGTCTAAGCAATAAAAAAATAAAAATTACTTGTGATTATAGACGAGCCATTGAAACGAGAGGAGCCTCAACCAACGGTATCTGCTGAGCCCTTACAGATCAAAGGGAAACGTGGCCGACCAAAGAAACAACCAGATGCCAAGCCTGAGAAAAAGAAATCGAATACGGACGACAAGAAAACTAAACCTGTAGCAAAAGGTAGGTTTACATCATGTACAGTATCTGAGTGGGGTATAAGGGAATCGCTTCTGAAATACAGAATATTAATTTACCAAAAAACACTCAATGTAAAACATACAAAAGTCAAAGGTAAATGACCCCGTTTGTATAGTTTGGTTTGAATACACTATGAGTTATGACATTATTAACGTTGTGATGTCCATGGACAATGAGTTTGATTACTAAAGAGGTGTATGTGCCATCAGTTAATATTGAACGTTATACTTTTTGTTACCAATGTACCACACCTACTTGTTTTTCAGAGCGACTCCCTTATACTCTACTTATATCCTAGTATAAGTCCCTAGTATTGTTTTCTCGCATTAAAACTGTATAATCTCAAAACGTACTAATTTTACAGGAGAGTGTTTTAAAAGTTTAACATGTTATATTTCTAATATTAATCATCTTGGCGACATTTTTTATTTATTTTTTAACAGTTACATTATCTGTCTTTTAAAGTAAGATAAAATTATGTATTAATTTTGTTAATAGTAGTCAAAACATAGGTAAACTAAAATTAAACTACGATCTTTTGACAGTATTTATGAGAAAAATACTGGTGATACCAAATGATTCTCCGCATATTAACTCAATTTCGAATATTTTTGGAAATTTTACACTTTTAATGCGAAAAAGCGATATGTTATTATAATCGTTTTTGTAAAGAAATCTTTTTCGATTAACAATTTGATAAAAGCATTTATTTTAAGAATCGCTCAAAGCCAAACATGCTATCTAGCCACTTACTGCTATCTGGCTGGTCATCATGGCCAAATGGGCAAGACGCTTTTTGTACTATATCGATGTTTGAACCAACTGGTACACATTGTTAAAAGGGAAACATACTTAATAGACAAGAGGATCAACCAATTGAAGACATGATGGATGAAAGGGATATGATACAATTTATTAATGTTGAGAAAAAGGGCAACAAACTTTTGTTTCTTGTACTTTTTTTTTTTATTGCGTTGATGGGTGAACGATCTCACAGCCCACCTGGTGTTAAGTGGTTACTGAAGCCCATGGACATCTACAACGTAAATGCGCCACCCACCTTGAGATATAAGTTCTAAGATCTCAGTATAGTTACAACGGCTGCCCTACCCTTCAAACCGAAACGCATTACTGCTTCACGGCAGAAATAGGCGGGGTGGTGGTACCTACCCGCGCGGACTCACAAGAGGTCCTACCACCAGTAAAGTACTTTTTCTTCGTACATAACTCTTTCATCACAATTTCTAAAAATAGCCTTTAAACCCAGAGTTTTAAGGATAATATTGGTTATAGGCACATAACACCTTCATTCAATGTCAATACTCAAAAATCTTAAAAATGGTACTAAACACCTTCATCCACTCATGTCTTGAATTTTTGTGGTGGGGAATGGACGAGTTCTTGTGGGAGATGGTCACCGCCAATCTGCTTCTAAGGAAGCAGTCAGGCCACTCGTTTTGGGGGACGTAGACTTTGTCCAACTGAGACTTTTAATTTCATGTCTGAAATAGCCTGAAATAGTTTAGTCTTGTCTAAGAGCTCCGGTAAACTCTATTAATGTCAGATATTCTTGAAAGAAACGATACCGATTAGAATATAACTAGCGATCGCTTCGCTTCGGAAACTAATTTATTATTGATTTCTCCACTATTTAATGGATGTTATTATACATATAAACATTCCTCATCAATGAAGGTCGTTGACCGCGCGACACTACGTTCCGCGCGTCGGGTCATTCGTGTTTGTCATACATTGCGGGCGTTGCAAATAGTAAGAATATGCTATTATTCGACCGTGTTTTTTTAGTGCTATTGTGTCAAGAATTCGCAATGGCATTTTGGCCAATGTAGGAATGTAGTTATTTGACTATGCAAATTTCGTTTTAGTACAATATAATTCAAATTGGATCATCTTCTAAAGATATCCTCGAATATCTAGGATAGTAGAATCCTCCGGTCCGCTGCCGCTTTTAAGCTCTCCAAGCACCGGACAACACAACCCACTGAGCTTCTCGCTGGGTCTTCTCAGCGGGTCGCGATTCCGATCCGTTGGTAGATACAGCAAAGTACTGCTCTTGCTAAGGCTAGTGTTAGCAAATTCTCTCAGGTTGAGCTGGTATTGTCCCTTACCTAGCCATTAGGTGGGGAAAACCAGCAAAAACGTTCTAGAAATAGTCCGAATGATTCTAACTTATATTTCATTATATCAGAGTTAACAATATTAACTTGAGATAAACGATAACACGATGTTATTCCGTGGAAGTTAGTTGCGAACATTTGTTAAGTACCCGCCTGCGGGATTCGAACACCGGTGCATCGCTAGATACGAATGTACCGGACGTCTTATCCTTTAGACCACGACGACTTCACAAAACCTCCTACTTGCGTTTATAATCCTCAATGCTAAGAGTTTTGACAGGATATGTTCTGCCTTCAACACCTCCGTCGTGGCCTCCCTTAATAACTTTCTCTCGGATTATCCTGCGCCGGCGCTGATGGCATAGTGGACTGAGGTATTGAGAGTAGAGCGTATCTGGTCCGCACAGCGCCCCTAGCAGCAGCCCCTAGCGGCAAACGTAGGCAAACATTTCAACTCCATAAAAAATTGAGTTAACTTTTACGCTATCGAGAACGTTAAAAAACTCGCACTAAGCACAATGAACTTTCAATGCGTGTTGAAAACGCTAAAGCGATTGTCTCGTCTCCACTTAAAATAAGGTATTATTGACTAGAACTTTCGTTTAATACATTGCAAACACCAAATTGATGTCTTATTTACTTTTAATACCCGAACGTAAATCGGTATATGTTATAGTTCTTGCTGTCATAGATTAGTTATCATATTACGTCAAAAAGAGTAGAATAAGACTATGCTCTAGAACTTTGACGATTGACATATAAGACCACTGCCTTATATGGTCTTATAACGCGCTGACTGAAAGAATCTGCAGAGAGCGTGTTAATAGGTAGATCGATTGTTATCCTCAACCTTATCTGAGCTTCGATGATCCTTTGAACATTTATGCCAAGGCTCCTTGTCAATAATTGTAATTGTTGTCTTTTGTTGTCAATTGCAACTTCCAGTCAGTCAGTTCCAAAAACTTGACTATACAAGATCTACCGTATCGTATTTTATAAAAAAAACAACTGCAAATAATAAATTTATAATATGAAACTGTTTTAATCTCATTGAACTCATCATTATTTGACTCTATGCCATAAATTAAAACCTTTTTATGGTCCTATCTCGCGTTATACTGTATTTTTATAATAATTATCCACGCTTAAAATTAATTTTTTTCTGACTGCAGATGATCAAGATGTTCTTCGTTTAAAAATTTTACCAGCTACCGTCCAATATTTATTAATTTATTGACATTTATGGTTCTTTACACACAGAAAGAGATAACAGTATTTTTGAGTTTATTACATTAATGCATTGTTTTCATTTACGAGCATCGCTCTCAATTGTTTGAAAAGTGTCAAACATCTATATTAAAGAGGGTATTTTATAATTTCAATAGATTCTCGTAACATACGTGCAGATAATTTGCGAAATTACAACGTAAATATGTTATTATGAAATGACATATTTGAATAAGAATCCGGTAAAAACCGAAAAAAAATCTATGACAGGTTGTCATTTCAATTTTGAATTACTGATTTCTGTTCTACCGGATTGCGAGGATTTTCAATAGCAAAATTACTTTCACACTAATACGATAATACATAGAAAAAAATAAAAGCTGACGATAAACAATCGATTTAATAAGATAGTTGGAGGATTCAAAACAACATGTTTCACTTTTTAGATGAGAACCGAAAAAAAGAGGCCGAGAATAAGTCCTCCCTGTCGGCCACCAAACGAAACAGACTGATGAAGAGAAACACTATAATTATTCTAGAGACCTCGACGGCCGTACCGTTCAAATGGCACAGGCAGAACTATCTGTGTTTCTTTTGTCATTTGACGTTCAAAGACTTCGGGCCGCTGAGGCAGCATACCCGCAGCCAGCATAAGAACTCTAGCATTAAATCGGCCGTTTACTACGTGAGGAGAGACGAGAAAGTCAAAATTGACGTCACCGACATCGCTTGTCGTATTTGCGAAACGGCAATAACCGATTTTAATAGCTTCATTGACCATCTAAAATCGGTTCACGAGAAAAGGTTCTTTGAAGAATATGGTTACGGTTTGGTTCCGTATAGATTGAACGAGGATTCATTCGACTGTCCGATTTGCGATGAGCGTTTCGCTTACTTCATCAAACTAAACCAGCACATGAACGCGCATTACGGGAGCTACATTTGCGAATTGTGCGGCAAATCGTTTTTGAGCGAAGTAAGATTGAAATGCCACTCATTACGTCACCGCTCCGGCTTCAAGTGTAACGTGTGTGCGGAAGTGTTCGATACCATGAACCAAAGGAACGGTCACGAGATGAAGATACACAAGATGGGCAAGAAATTGAAATGTTTGTACTGTAACGAGACCTTTGCGAATTACACGCAACGAAAGCGGCACCACAGCGCCGAGCACGACGTGAACAATCCGGAGTACTGCTGTCCGGTTTGCGGGAAAGCTTTCCACATTCTCAGCAAAATGAGGGTGCATCTCAGCGAAGTTCACGTCAGGGAAAAAAGGTTTACGTGTTCGGTTTGCGATCAGAAATTCTTCTCGTCCGCTCACGTACAGAAGCATATGGTCAAGCACTTTGGCGAGAAGGTGCATCAGTGTGAGGTCTGCAAAAAGTCATACGCGCGCAAGCAGACCTTAAGAGATCACATGCGGATACACAATAAAGACAGGAGATACCCTTGTGCTGTTTGCAGTCAAGCGTTTGTGCAGAACAACAGTTTGAGATCCCACATGAGGGTGCATCATCCGGATTTAATTGTGACGTGATTTTTGAAAATTTACCCCTAAGGAATTGCGATCTTCTATTGTTCATCGATTAAAAATTATGAATTGGTTTATTTTGGTCTTTTTTATTGTACTTGAGACGATTTTCTTTATTCATCAATATCAACACATCTACGAAAATGTATCTGAAACTTTCGCTAAGCTAATCTTTATTTCTACGGTATTCTTAGTTTTAAATTACAAAACTTTAAATGTACCCTGTTCACTTGAATCGAGTGCTAACGTTCGAACCTAGATGCTGTGCTAAAATTGTTTTTTTTTGTTTTGTTTTAATATTATAAATCTTATTTTTCGTCTTTTTAAAAATGGGTACATTTACAGTCAAGACAAAATTTCCATTGCAGATGTTAAAACGAGAAAATACAAGGGGTGCGAATCGTCATCGATGCGCCGAAGGAGAAACTTTGAGATCTTGTTCAACAACACGACCATAATACCGTTCAAATGGCGTGGCAAGTATCTGTGCTTCTATTGCAGCAAAGACATCGCCGAGTACAATGAATTGAGGAAGCACACGAAGTCCCACGGCGATTGCTCGATTAAGGACCATTCGCTGAAAGTCCTCAAAGGGGGTCACAATATGGAAATCAAGATCGATGTCTCTGACGTCGCGTGTGAGATCTGCGGAGAGCCGTTTCCATCGCTCGAGGAAATCATCAATCATCTATACGTTAAACACAAACTGGAATATGATAGGGGCGTGGAAATGTCCATAGAGGAGTACAGGCTGGTCGATATGGGCTGTTTGGTGTGCGGCGAAAAGTTTGCGTTTTTCGGTTATCTAGTCTCGCACGTGAACAATACTCACCCGAAGAACTGCTTGCTCTGCGACAAGTGCAACCAGAAATTCAACAAAAAGAGAGATCTATTTTCCCACATGAAGAATTACCATCGCGAAGGTGGATACCAGTGCGAAGTGTGCCCGCAGAGTTTTAGCTCGCTAAACATCCTACGTAAGCACAAAATAAATCGCCACTTGACCCGCTGCAGCGTATGCCACTTGAAGCTTCCATCGGCGTCTCTGAAGCAGAAGCACATGGACTTGGAACATCCGGACGATGGATCGCTGCAGTGCGACAACTGCGATAAACAGTTCCACACGAAACAAGGACTCCGGATGCACTCGAGGAAGTGTAAAGGACTCGAGGAATTCCTCGAAATCGCCTACAAAAAAGAGGACGCCGCCGCCATGGATTTGGACCAGAATTACGAAGAACGATCGAAGCGGCCCAGCGTTAAGCAGATTAGGGAAAACATAGTCATAGTCATTAACATGTCAACGGCGATACCTTTCAATTTCTACAAGAATAAATTTAACTGTTTTTATTGCTCCAAAGACTTCGCGGATTCGGACGCGATGCGCGAACATACTGTAGTCGAACACCCGGTTTGCGACGTTAAAGAGAAATGCATCAGAAAATGTAGAGAATCGGTGGCCTGCGTTAAAATCGACATTTCTACATTGGCCTGTAAAATCTGCTTCGAATCGATGATCAACTTGGACAGCCTCATCGATCATTTGATAGTTAAGCATGAAGCGAACTATGATAAGTCGATCACGACTTGCCTACAGCCGTACAGGCTGGTCAAAGACCACATGGCCTGCCCGAACTGTCCCGGCGAAGTGTTCCGCTTCTTCGGCACGCTACTGAAGCACATGAACAAGAAGCACACGAACAACAACATTATATGCGTGTATTGCGGCGAGACGTTTCGGCGCGACCAGAACCTTCGCGTTCACGTGTGGCGGCACCACAGGGACGGTCGCTTCAAGTGCAACATTTGCGGGGCGGAGTGCAATATCCCATCGAGGCTGTACATGCACATGGCGAAGGCGCACGGCGTCCGGGCTTCGAAGTGCCCCAAGTGCCCGGAAAGCTTTGCGACCCAGTACCTACGCCAGAAGCATCTGATCGACGCCCACGATTCGGGCCACAAGTGCACGTACTGCGGGAAGCTGTTCACGAGGAACTCATTCATGCGGGATCACGTCCGTAGGACGCACCTCAAAGAGAAAAACGTCGAGTGCTCGATTTGTAACATGAAGTTCTTTAACAACATCCTTTTGAGGCGGCACATGGTCAAGCACAGTGGCGAGAAGAACTTCCACTGCGAGATCTGCGGGGAAAGATTCTTTTGGCGCAAAAGTCTTCGAACGCACATGGCCAGACACAGCAGACACCTCAATCCAGCACAAGTTTAATGTTTGATTGTGCCAAAGTCGAATGCGTGCGCCAAACTGTAACAGTGTGCGTTTGTGTGGCTGTGAATTTAGCTATGACGTCATTATACTAAGAACATGCTGTTTCAATCAATTTAGCTAAGGGTGATTATGCGTGAGGAATTCTACACATGGTAGATTGTGTTGCTTTATCGAAATTTTCATGCTAGTCTCAAGTGTGCCCGCGTTGTTTTGACGAGGACCAATTTTCCGTTTCAAGTTGCCCCGCCACTAACACGCTGTTGTACCAAAGGCCTTGTTAAATGATGTGAAACCCTGTTTTCTATATAGCCCAGTAGGTCTGCTAGGTTAAGGCATCTGTTGTGAACGTGTAGGAGTTTGTAATCCATTTAATATCTTATAGTATTGTGAACTGTTTGAAGTAAATACCGAAGCAGTATTATTTTCGTTCGATACGTAATTAGTGGATATGTTTGTTTTTTATTTTTATTTAGAATTGCTTTCAAAGCTTCAACTTTAATTCTAGAGCAGTTCAGAAAAGCAATTTTCAAATACTAAGCACGTTTGAGTACTTAATGTTTTTGTGAGATTTCATACTTAGTCGAGCCGCAATGTAAAGCATACAAAACTTAGGGTCAATAACCCGTCGTTCATTTTTAATTGCACTAAAATGCTACAGTAGTAAAACTATAGATTAGACCATTATCTTTCTTTTTCGTCAGCGGCTTATTGAAACATTAACAGCCTGGCCACGGGACATTCGCCGATACGAATATTCGCGCGGTGCGAACGGCGAAGCGTCTAGCGACTAAAACAAGCGCATAGAAATGTACCTAACAAGCCACGCGCACCGGCGACCGGCGAAGCGACCGGCGAAATGTACCGAGCGAATCGCGCGATGCGGCGGGCGAGCAAAACAAATGCATGAATACGGACGGCGCGAGCCACGGAGTCGAGCGGTAGTCGCGGCGAATAGTGCAGTGATTAAATGAGTTTAGTTGTTTTCGCCGCGAAAAATTAACGCCGAAATTTTTATATTTTTTATTTATTTTTTATTTTATATTTTTAAAGTCGTCGTGGCCTAACGGACGTCCGGTGCAATCGTGTTGAGCGATGCACCGGTGTTCGAATATCAGGCGGGTACCAATTTTTGTAATGAAATACGTACTCAACAACACTCAACGTTCACGATTGATTTCCACGGTGAAGGAATAACATCGTGTGATAAAAATGAAATCTTCAAAATAATAATTTGCGTAATTACTGGTGGTAGGACCTCTTGTGAGTCTACACGGGTGGGTACTACCACCCTGCCTATTTCTGCCGTGAAGTAGTAATGCGTTTCGGTTTGAAGGGTGAGGCAGCCATTATAACTATACTTGAGACCTTAGAACTTATATCTCAAGGTGGGTGGCGCATTTACGTTGTGGATGTCTATGGGCTCCAGTAACCACTTAACACAAGGTGGGCTGTGAGCTCGTCCACCCATCTAAGCAATAAAAAAATAAAATAGCTGAAATACTAGCTAGACCAGCTATTTGGAAGTCTAGCCACCCAAAGTATTTCTCGTACTTCTTGTGGAATTCTCCATCTATAGGTATACTCCGATTCTTATTCAAATCATGTACTTCACAATCTTTTCCAAATAATAGGTCCTGAACCAAAAAGCTATTAATTTGTAAGCAATATCGAGATAATTTCGATATAGACATTTCGCTGTCGGACATCCTTACTAGTCGCGGCGGCGAACGTGAGTACCCGTGGCCTGCAAACGGTGCTGCGCGAATGGTCGCCTCGTCCACCGCTTCGCTGTTCGCACCGCCGATCCCCGTGGCCAGGCCGTAAAGCATTCTATCAATTTCAGCATTGATAATATTTCTATAATCTTCTTCTTTCTGTAATCTTAGGTTAATGCCGTGGCTAGAGCTTTTAGTACCTGATTCAACGCAGTTAATAGAACTGTGTATATTAAATTAAATAGTATAAATGTGATTGATTTAGTTGTTAGGAAAGACCAACAGCATTACACATGTACATTACATAGAATACATACATTATAGAATTTTGCTGTGTAACACGATGAATGCGTAATCGCCTAAATAAAAAAATCTCCAATATGATACTAAAGGAACAACTTTAGTAATAATATAAGCAAATCATGATATACCATTGATGGTAGGACGTCTTCGTAAGTGCCACCGCCCCGTCTATTTTTGCCGAAGTAGTATTGCGTTTCGGTGCTGTAAAAAAAAGAGAAACCTTAGAACTCATATCTTAAGGTGGGTATTTTCGCCGCTTGTAACAGTTCCGAAATGTCGAGAACGAAAAAAAATATCGTTCAAAGACTTCTAAATAACAGTGTTCGTAATTACCAATTGTGATTTTTATTAGGAGTAAATTTCAATTTAGTGTAGTCTTTAGGAAACGTGAAAAATTAAGAAATTACAGTCACAGGACCTTATAAATACGGATAGATGCAAAAGAACTTTTCTAATATGTGTTTTAAACCTAGTGCTGAATTTATTTTCACATATTCTGCCGAAATTGCCAAAGGATTTTTGAAAGAAAAAAAAAGATGTTATAAAAAACTTTAACTTTAACACACGTCCGTACAGATTGATACCTAATATCTGTATTCAAACTGTGGAAATAGTCGGTATCTCGACGTTCCGGGCTTTAGTTTGATCTATCGTCGATTCTCGTTCAAAGAACTAAAATAGCTAAGAGAAACTGGGAAAGCACTTAAGAGAAATTTTATTCTCCCTACTGTGAATACCGCCTTGGCTAAGAATGTCTAAAGCGAATGAATAAAAATAATATAACCAGAAAGTATATTACACTCCAGAGCAACTTCGCCTTGGTAATGCTGACCGCTTTCTATACCAGGCCATTAACCCAATTGGATAGCGAAAATATCGCAATTTGTCGGTGGAACCTTTATTAATCAACATCTCACTGGCACCAACATCGTCTGTCCTCAAGTACCTTTATAAGAGAAATTTGTTTGCAGGTACGCGGGGAAAGATGTACAGTGCTAATTACAACAGGAGAAAGAATCTAATCATTTTGTTCAACAATACAACATTGATTCCGTTCAAATGGCGCATGAAATACATGTGCTTTTATTGCGGCCGGTCTTTAGATGATTATAGCGAACTGAGAGAGCATACGATTGATCACGGTATTTGTACGGAAAACGATCGTGCCATAAGACTGGTCAAGGCGCCGGATAGTGAAGTTAAAATTGATGTTTCAGATGTAACATGTAGATTATGCGATAAGATGTTGTCGAATATGGACGATATTATAGATCATTTGGTGTCTAATCATAGGAAAAGCTACGACAGGGAGGTGCAATTGGCCATTGCTCCCTACAGCTTGAGAGACTTGAAATGTTTATCTTGTAGCGAGAATTTCAGGCATTTTCGGGCTCTAATCGTTCACGTTAATCGCGCACACCCTAATAATTGTTTCGTTTGTCGCGATTGTGAATTAAAATTCAACAAAAAGAGGGATTTGGATCGCCACTATAGGGTGCATCACAGGAAAAGGTTTAAATGCCCCAAATGTTTGGACGACTTTAGCACTTATACGGACTATCAGAGGCACCGTAGTAACGCTCATGTATCGACTTGTAACATATGTTTTAAAGCTTTCTCTACGAGCACCAAAAGATTGGTGCACATGAAAACGGATCATGACCTAGACTTAGCCGAATGCGGGTTTTGTAAGAAAATTATGACGACTAGGCAAGGTTTTCTTAGACACGCGACGCAGTGTACACCGAAATACGAGTTAAAGTCGCCTCAGGTGGTTGTGGTGGACGACGACAAAAAGCCGTCGATCAAAGAAATACGCAAGGAGATTGCCAACATATTTAATATGTCGACAGCTATGCCTTTCAAGTTTTTCATGACAAAATTTCGATGTTTCTATTGTTCGGAGGACTTTCAGAAATGTGACTTGCTAAAGAAACATACCCTCGCCGAGCATCCGTACTGTGACGTGTCTATAAAATCGATGAGACTACGCCACAGATATGAGGGCTTACAGATTAAGGTGGACACTTCGGCTCTGGCTTGCAAACTTTGCTTTGAGCCCGTAGACAGTATGAGCTCTTTATTCGATCATTTGAAATCGGAGCACAAGAGTTCGTGTGACGAATCCGTGGCCGCTCACATTCAGGGCTTCAAATTGATGGAAGACAACTACGTTTGTCCGTATTGTGATGAAGTCTTTAGGTATTTCAGTGTGCTCTTGAAGCACGTCAGCGTCCGTCACACTGACAACAAATACATATGTGTTTACTGCGGGAAGTCGTTTAGAACCAATCCGAATTTGAGATCACACGTGATCGGTCGCCATGACAACCCGAGCCGTGAGAAGTGCGAGAAGTGCGGGCTAGTGTTGAAGAGCAAAAACACCCTCAGACTTCATACGAGAAAAGTGCATTGTAACAAGCGGGTGGAGTGTACGGAATGCCAGGAGACGTTCACCACGAATTATTCAATGTACGTACACAAGCGCGACGTGCACGGTATCGGTCATAAATGTGATTATTGCTTAAAAATTTTCGCGAAGAATTCGGCCATGGTGAATCATATGCGACGGGCGCATCTAAAGGAGAAGAACGTGCAGTGCTCGGTGTGCTTCGAGAGTTTCTTTGACGTGCAACGTCTTAAAACGCACATGGTCAAGCATGCTGGCAAGCGTAACTACCAATGCGACGTTTGCGGTAAAAGATTTTTATGGAAAAAAAATCTGAGGGGTCACGTTGTCTCGCATAACAAAAATAGCCAACGAACATTAATAACGTGATTGTAATATAAAGAAATTAAGTGTGAACCAGAGGTACAACTACAGCGAGGAATGTTTGTTCGCAGATAAAAACTCGCCGTTCGAGCCGAGTACCGATACGCCCGCGCCAGGCGTTTTCCTGGGCTGTACCTCTGAGCGACGACGGAAAAACTTGAAAATAATCTTCAATTGCACAACGATAATTCCGTTTAAATGGCGCGGAAGGTATTTGTGCTTTTACTGTGGCAAGCCTTACGCTGAATACGCTGAATTAAAGAGTCATACTCAGTCGCACGCCCCTTGTACCACGAAAGATTACGCTCTGAGAATCATAAGAGGCAGTCACGTCGAAATCAAAATAGACGTTTCGGAGATTGTGTGCAAAATTTGCTACGAACCTTTTGATAGTTTCGAGGAAATCGTGAATCATTTAATCGGTAAACATAAATTAAGTTACGAAAAGCAAATTGGCACTCCATACCAAGAGTACAGATTGAGTGATTGCGNCCCTTGTACCACGAAAGATTACGCTCTGAGAATCATAAGAGGCAGTCACGTCGAAATCAAAATAGACGTTTCGGAGATTGTGTGCAAAATTTGCTACGAACCTTTTGATAGTTTCGAGGAAATCGTGAATCATTTAATCGGTAAACATAAATTAAGTTACGAAAAGCAAATTGGCACTCCATACCAAGAGTACAGATTGAGTGATTGCGGCTGCACCCGCTGTGGGGAGCGATTTGCTTATTTTACTAATCTGGTCAAACACGTGAACACCGCACATCCACAGAACCGCTTCATATGCGATAAATGCGAAATGCCCTTCAACAAGAAACGCGATTTGGCAGTACACTTTAGGAATTATCACGGCGAAGAGAACTACAATTGTGTGCAATGCTCGCAGAATTTTAAATCCTTGGTCACGTTACGCCGCCACCAAAACGACATACATTTTAGGCAGTGCAAAACTTGTGGGAACCGTTTCGAATCCGTTGCGGTTTTGCGTAAGCACGAGGTATCCGAACATCCTGACGACGGCAATTACAAATGTCGGTATTGCTGCAAGGAACTACACAGTGCGCCGGGTCTGAGGTTGCATTACGGGAAATGTAAGGTTCGAGCCATCGCCTCAATCGACCCTAAATGTCCGTTAATATCCGGAGAAATACGCAGGCGTAAACTGAAAAACAATTTGAAAGCAATAAGGAATAATATTCAATGCGTCTTAAACATGTCAACTGCGACACCTTTTAAGTACTTCGCCAAGTATTCATGTTTTTATTGTACACTAAAGTTTGTTGAGTTTGAAGATCTGCGACAGCATACCATGTTAGAACATCCTGTATGTGACGTTAAAGAGAAATACATGAGGCAGTGTAAGGGTGATAGGGTTTGCGTTAAAATTGATATATCTTCTCTCAAGTGTAAGCTGTGCTGTATGCCAATGGAGGACCTTGATTTGCTGATCGATCACTTAATATCGGAACACAAAGCTGGTTATGATAAGTCCATAAAAGGTTGTCTCGATCCTTATCGCATAATCAAAGATAGCATTCCTTGTCCTCTATGCGAAACTGTTTTCCGTTACTTCAGCACCCTGCAGCGTCATATCAACTCCGATCATAGCAACAACAACGCGATCTGCGATTTCTGCGGGAAAAGCTTCAACAAGCTCAGTAATTTGGTCGTGCACATTGGGCTCGCGCACATGGGTGCGACCCAGTGTGGAATCTGCGGCGCGAACTTCAAGAACAACTGGTGCTTATCCCGACATAGGGCGAAACATCACGGCGTCAAAGATTACAAGTGCACGAAATGCCCCGAGCTTTTCATATCTTCGTATCAAATGCAGAAGCACCTAATCAAAGTGCACAACGAGGGACACAAGTGTGTTCATTGCGGCAGGCTGTTTACGAGGAATTCTTTCATGAAAGACCACATCAGAAGAACGCATTTGAAAGAGAAAAATATCGCATGCGCAGTGTGCAATGAAAAGTTTTTCGATAACTATCTGCTGAGGCTGCACATGGTAAAGCATGACGGGGAAAGGAAGTTTACTTGTGAGGTCTGCGGCAAGGCGTTCCTGAGGAGAAGCAACCTCAATTGTCACAAAGAGATGCATAAAAAGTATGGACATATTTAGTGATGAGCTGAAAAAATTATCCCACGTACGAAATGTACTGAGTCACTTCTATAATGTTTTTTCCGGTTTTTATCATATAATTTAAACGTCATTTGTAATGGGTTATTTTTTCCTTTCGTAAGGGGTTACTAGGGTTGGCCACGTTAAGATTGTTATCGTATCGCGCCGCTTTGTCGAACTAGCGTCCTGACACTACCTTAAGATACTTATGTAGCGGTTCTAAATTTAAATTGTCCTACCGTCGAAGAGGTCCTACCACCAGTAATTACGCAAATTATAATTATGCGCATTTGATTTTTGTTACACGATGTTATTCCTTTCACTGTGGAAGTCAATCGTGAAGATTTCTTGAGTACGTATTTCATTAGAAAAATTTCATTCGATACCTTAACTTATTTATTATTAACTTGAGTTTTTGTAAAAAATTATTATCACCATTAGGCATAAAATATGGTCTAAGGCCAAAACTATAAGAGACTACTAGATAAACATTAGTTAACCGAATCAAAAATCGGCCAGCAATGGATAGTGCGGCAATGGAATTAAATATGATCACGTCTAACAAAACGTGGCGACGACATTAGCCTCTACTCTATAGACACTTAACGTTGTTTTTAATCGTATAACTATCAACTTAACTTATTCTATATTGTAAGTAGTAGTTCCTTGATCATAATAATTATAAAAGGATTGTTTTAACTAGATAGAACCACGTCTACCTGCTTATTTATGAAAATAATTATCTGTGTGTACTTGAAGTGAATGAGAAATCGTATAAATAGTATTTTAGAATTACAATACATGTTCAGAAATGTTAAGAATTAAACAAAATACAATTAATTTATACAAGTATATAAATGTCTTTTCATTGTTTAAATGCATACAGCAAACTGCATTTCCTCATTCTTGTACTATAGAATCTACTGCCGGGGGTTCAAGTGAGTTTCTCGTCTTTTTTTATGCCTTTGAGGCAGACGAGCTTGCGGTCCACCTGATGGTAAGTGGTTATCGTCGCTCATGGACGTCAGTGATTCCAAGGGCAGAGCCAAGCCACTGCATACTCAATGGAGTACTCTCCGCAAGCCTCGTTTGAAGGACATGTCATAAAAGTTCGTGGAGTACCGAGCCGGGGTCCAGGGGCGAAGCCCTGGCTGGGGGTGGGGGGGCGGCACCGCCGCCCCCCCCCCCCGTACTCAAAAAAAACAATTTAACTGTTTTTTTATTTTTAAATAAACTACTACTAATTGAATAAGAACTGTCTGATGAACTCATCTTTGTTTAATACTTCACTATTAAAATTTATTGCCTGTTGTATATTTCACTTTTACACTAAATACAATATTGCAAATTACTCGAGCACAACAATGGTGGAGAATTTTAGATGCGTGAGAGCAGACGTAGAAACTAACGCGCACTTGTACCCAGGGAGGAAAAGTGACACTTTCTTCCCTGTACAGCGGGAGGAAAACCGAACAAATTGTCGATTTTCATGGTGACACATACTCGTTGAGATCACCTCGAAATTTAGTAAAACATACTGAATAGGTTTTTTTCGCCGTCACATGCTTCTAAAATACTATGATCGCAGTTCTTTTTATTTCCATACTTACGCGTGTTTTAGGAAATACATGTACATAGTGCATAGTACATTCCGTAGCATTATAACCATATATTGCTGTAGTCAAAGTAATATAGATTTTACTATTGCAGCACATGTATTTTACTCACTGTTCACAAACTATTTGAATCAACATGATAATCTCATACATAAACCCTCATAACGACGAACGAAGTTGTCATAATGACGCCATAAAAAAAAAGAGAATAAAAATTTCGACGAAAAATTGTAAAAGCGGCCCGTTTTTAATTTCCAGGTGCCAGATTCAGTACAGTCGAAGACAAACATAAGAGAATGGAACTGGCACGTAAACTGTTCATAAAACGGAGGAACGTGGAATACGTGTTGCAATACAGCAACGCTACGCCCTTCATGTGGCACAAGGGCAAATACAAATGCTTCTTTTGCAACGAAACTATGAAAGATCCGACCGTGTTGCGTGATCACACAGCCTCGGCACATCAGTTTGCCAATTTAGAGCTGGTCGTTTACGATCGCACGAAAAATAATAGGAATAGGGACGCCGCTATCAAGATTGACGTAACCGATATCGCTTGCAAGCTTTGCACTCAAACGGTAAATAACTTAGAGGAGCTGATACACCATCTGATTATAGCTCACGATGCCGAGTACGACATGAGCGTACCCAACTGTTTGTTGCCCTTCAAATTGGACAAGGACCAGCCCACGTGTCCGACTTGCGACATGAAATTCGTTTTCTTCGAATATTTGTTACGTCACGCAAATAAGCATCATCTCTCGCACCATTATATCTGTGACGTTTGCGGCACGAGTTTCCAAGGGGAGAATCATTTGAAAATGCATTATAGGTACTATCATAGAGAAGGCGGATACACCTGTGAGTACTGCGGTATTAGTCTGGCGACGTTGTCCAAGAAAATTCTACACGAAAAAAATGTTCATTTGGTTAACTTATTGACGTGCCCGCACTGTCCCGAAACGTTTAAAAGTCCGTATTTAAAGAAGTTACATTTGGCGAATGTTCACGGCGTCGAAGAGCTTAAAATTAAGTGTCCTTACTGTCCCAAAGTATATCCCCAAGAGAGCATAATGTCGCGGCATATGAGGCGAGTACATCTAAGGGAAAAGAACGTTGAATGCGAGATATGCGGAGACAGATTTTTCGGGCCATATGACGTAAAACTTCACATGGTCAAACACAACGGCGAAAAGAAGTTTGTTTGCACGGTGTGCGGAAAGAAATTCTCAAAAAAGAGTAACTTGAATTCTCATTCGGTTCTACATACTGGCCAGAAGCTGTATATATGTAGTTTCTGTAATAAAGCGTTCACGCATCACACAAACATGAAGATGCACATAAGGAATAGACACGAGTCGTACGTTGTTGATTCGCATCAGGTTGAAGATATTGGTCTCGATAACCCTGAGATATTGCAGATGGAAATAATACAGAACGACACTGACGAAGGGATAGTGGCCGAAGAGATAATTTTCGCGTGATTTGCCGGCCTGGATTTAGTGAATGGATATTATCAAATATCAATACTTATTTTCCCGGGGTTATGGTACTGTTTATCGTGATGACGTTGTTGTTTTTTTCGGAAATTAATTAGGTTAAAATGTTAACTGTTGAGGTAAATATAATTTTGGATAGGAGTTTTTCGTAAGAGCTCAATATCGACGAAAGCATTTCGCTTTTCTGTAGGTCTGTGTTAGACAAAATGTACACACGTATTAGAAGTCTGATGGATCAATATAAATAAATGTTAACTTATTTAAAATTAGATACATTTAAAATTAAATTAATGTAATCAATACTGTATATACTGTTATTACTGTGTATTACACTGTCTAAAATTTCTTTTGAGGTTTTATTTGCGGGTTTGCGACTATGACTTTAGTTACAGGTAGTTCATTTCGACCATGCTTCATTAACTCTGTTCATGAAAATCTCTTCATCTTCAGCCCTTTCACACACACTGCTGCGCATAGGCCTCCCCTTTTTTATGCCATAATATTCGATCTCCCGCCATTCTCATCCACGTCTGCCCCGCCGTTCTGACCATGTCATCTTTGACGGTGGACCGATGGTATGATGAAAATGGGCCAGAAACTAATCCCAAAGGGTGCAAACAGATTCAATGGCATAAGCAAATCCGTCCATCACGATGGAATAATCATTATATAGTTTTTAAAGATATACCAAGAATTGATTATAAATAAAGGAGTGGAATAGTTATTAATACTTTTTTTTCTGCTAATATAAATACAAAAGTGTGTTCGCCAGTTCATTATTTTACGTAGGAACAGGTCTACAAAATTGAAGTTTGTGTGAACCGAGCAATGACACAAACAGATTACCTATTTAGCGGTAGGCAGCGGCCTGGCTCTGCCCTTGGCATTGCTGAGGTCCATGGGCGAGGTAACCACTCACTATCAGGTGGGCCGTATGCTCGTTGCCAAGGGCAATAAAAAAAATCTATCTTTATCGCAGGAAAGCAGCTTGTTTAATTTGTTCTTAATTATAAATTTAACGAAGTTGAAATCGTGCGAAAACAAAAGCTGGACGTGCCAGCTTTATATAAAAAATTTTTTCGACATTGGTTACATGATTTATTGTTATTGCCCTAATTCGTTTGCCATATTACAGTTATCATAATTATCTTCAAGAGCAATCCGCAGCGAAACGACCGAAATAAGTATAAGTGGTTTAAAATCATGCTAAAATTATAGAAGTTTGATTAATAATTTATCAGTAAACCCCGCAATGCCTATCAGACAGTATGTCACTACGCATTGATTGCGAACTATTCAACTTACGCATTCGAAGCGTACCGGCCGCCTTTAAACTGTTCAAGACGCCTCACAGACGAACTGTTTTCCTTACAGGAGAACTTAGTGCTTGCAATAGACAGATAAAGGATCGAGAAGCTGTACCTGACCCAATGCGGAGGACAGGCCCCACGAGGAAAGAACAACGTCAGAGACTAAGGAACAACGTCATACAAGTGCTGATTAATTCGACGGTGATACCGTTCCGTTGGCTGAAAAGCTCGTATCGCTGCTTCTACTGTTACGATATCTTCGAAGAGTCCTCCGATCTAAAAGCNGCTTGCAATAGACAGATAAAGGATCGAGAAGCTGTACCTGACCCAATGCGGAGGACAGGCCCCACGAGGAAAGAACAACGTCAGAGACTAAGGAACAACGTCATACAAGTGCTGATTAATTCGACGGTGATACCGTTCCGTTGGCTGAAAAGCTCGTATCGCTGCTTCTACTGTTACGATATCTTCGAAGAGTCCTCCGATCTAAAAGCTCACCAAATCGCTCACGCGGACGACGAAATTAAACATCGAACGATGAATAACTACTGGGAACCAGTTGTGTATGTTGACGTTTCTGAATTGTCGTGTCGCCTCTGTCCGGAAATGCTCAGTGATTTTTACGAATTGATCGACCATCTGGTTTCTAAGCACGACATCGATTATAACACGGAAGTCGGAAGTTGCATGGTGCCTTTCAAGATCGACGATCTAACGCTCAGTTGCCTTATTTGTGGGGCGAATTTTTTCACGTTCGGCCCTTTGCTGCAACACACGAACAAGGACCACAAAGGCACTTCGCGCATCCTATGCGAGATCTGCGGTCAGAACTTTAAAGACGGCGTAATGTTGAAGGCGCACGTGAAAGTCGCTCACGAGAACGCGGGACTGCTGTGCACGGAATGCGGCGAGAAATTCGAAACGAAATGCAAACTGAAAACGCACCAGAAACACCAGCACGATATCGAAAAGAAATACGTGTGCTTGGTCTGTCCGTTGAGTTTCCAAAGTCATTACAAACGGTCTAGGCATATGGCGACGGAGCACGACAACCGGGAAGTAATAAACTGCCCTCACTGCCCTAAGACGTTCGTGTTCAGGTCCATGATGATGACGCACGTCCGAGACGCTCATTTGAAGGTCAAGAACCACATCTGCGGCGTCTGCGGATGGAAAGCGGTTAACACGAACCGACTGAAGAACCACATGTACAAACACAGCGGCGAAAAGAATTTCAAGTGTGACATTTGCGATAAGGCGTTCACCACGAGGAAGATTATGAAGGCGCATCTCGCTAGGATGCACAAACAAGCATCGTCACAACAACCCTTAATGCATTTCGATGACACATACATCGCACAATGAAGAGACACTACCCTCACAGAACGCTATTAATGCAGATTTGTCGCAAAACAGACTATTTTTAAAGTGGTATAATAAATAAGAAAGTTGGATATTAATAAATTAGTTAGTACATAAAAAAAACAGTTTCTTCTGTGTCTTTTGCGTCGTCAGGGATAAAGCTCTAGAAAATCGAGAATTGATAGCGAATTTCTGACGAAATCTTTATCGCCTTTAATAGTTAAAGTGTCTTAAATAAATATAAAGGTAATTTAATTAACCATCGTTCTTTTTTTTTAAGTTATATTTAAATTTGGCAGTCGTCGTGGCCTAAAGGATAAGACGCCCGGTGCATTCGTATCGAACGATGCGATTGTGCCGGATTTCAAATCCCGCAGGCGGGTATACATTTTTCTAACGAAATACGTACTTAACAAATGCTCACGATTGACTTCCACGTTACAGGAATAACATCGTGTAATAAAAATTCAACCCGCAAAAGTTATAATTTATGTTATTACTGTAGGTATCTGGTGATCCCGTACGGGTAGGTATCATCATTCTGCCTATTTCTGCCGCGAAGTAGTAATGTCTTTCGGTTTGAAAGGTGGGGAAGCTGCTGACCCACAGAACAGAGACTCAGAACTCATGTCTTAACGTGGGTTGGTTGTTGGTTGTTGATATCCATAGCCAAAGCTCACCGAAGCAACCACATAACACCAGATGGACGGTAAGGTCATTTACCCGTCTAGGCAAAAAAAGTTATTTGCTTAGATTGGAATAAAAAAACCAATAAAATAACATTACCTACATTAGCTTCTACCCTCAGATCTGTATAAATCTGCACATTCAGGCTTTCAAACGCTGTATCACTCTATCAATTTTTATTGACAGTTTTGACTGTTTCGTGCACCGAAAAAGTGCAGCGTATTAACAGTGACATTAATTGTCAATATAAGCAAACACCTAACCAAGTCGCTTTCCCTTTTAAATTCTAAGTTTTAAGAACCGTGTCGTAAATATTATTGGCATTTGTACAGTAGCATCTCGATATATTGTATGTTTTTTTTTATTGCTTAGATGCACCTTGAGATATAAGTTCTAAGGTCTCAAGTATAGTTACAACGGCTACCCCACCTTTCAAACCGAAACGCATCACTGCTTCACGGCAGAAATAGGCGGGGCGGTGGTACCTACCCTGCGGACTCACAAGAGGTCCTGCCACCAGTAAATACAAACCTGTCAAGGGTAATACAAAAAAACTTCGACTATTGAATCTTCGACTTAACAAGATGTTCGACATATGAACTATTTGATAGCTAAAATTTCGATATAAGACGGCGTGATTTTAGAGTATGTTTTTCGAGGTGTCAAAAAATTCATAAAAATTCGATTTGAGTTTTATAGTAGGTACATATTTATTGAAATCAATTACTTCTTCGAGTTCGGGGAATTACAAGTTGGTCGTCATTATGTTTGACTACCCACAACTTGAATCTGGTTTTTAAATATTTTGAAGTTCGATCTATCAAATATAAATATGTACTATAATGCCTACGCAAAGTAATAACATTTTGTTCGAGTTACAATGTCTAAATAATGCGAGATACCGAATATTTGGCGGGACTTAGTGAAGGGTAACAACGTTTTTGTCGAGTTATAAAGATTCCACTGTGATTATTATGGCGACTCGTAACATAGGTTCCTGGCTATATTCACAGACCTGTGGAGCTTGGTGGTAAAGTTTCTAAACTGCAAGTCTTTTAGTTCTGGCCAGGTGCGAAGCGTTATTTCAGCTTTCACTACCTCGTGCTTTTGCATTCAGCAGATTCCGATACTTATACGTTTTTAGATGTAGTCCAAAGTTTTCATAGACGAAAATTAGCCTTCCTTTGAGTAACTCGGTACCTTATTCTTCAGAGCTTTATCGTGTAGTGGCCGCTGCTGCGGGCCTATGGAAGTAAGCGCCAAGTCCTAAAATCAAATCAATTACACATCCTAACGCGATTTTTAACGGGTCCGGAAACAGCTTACCAGAGGAGACGAGGGCTCGGTCGCGCATCCAGGTCAATCAGAAAATTAAAGAAGAAAATAATTTCAGAAAAAAATTATCAGAAAAGAGCTGAGAGAGAAGAAAAAGAGAATTCCGATGCCCAATTAAAAGGGTGGCAGGATTTAAACGAGTCCGCCACACAACTTGTGCTCTTGACCACAATGACAACTTTCCGATGACTCAAATGTTCATACAGATGCTTCAATTGCTACGATTTTTTTCATGAAGCCAAAGAACTGATCGATCATCAGTTGAACCATCGGGAAACGGACGTGAAGGTT